GAGTCCAGCGGAGGGGTACCAAGATGATTAGAGGGCTGGAGCATCTCTCCTATGAGGAAAGATTGCAAGAGCTGGGCCTGTTCAGCCTGGAGAAGAGAAGATTGAGAGGGGATCTCATCAACGTGTACAAGTATCTGAAGGGGGAGTGTCAAGAGGATGAGGCCAGCCTCTTCTTCGTGGTGCCCAGCAACAGGACAAGAGGCAATGGGCACAAACTGAACCACAGGAAGTTCCACCTAAACCTGAGAAAAAACTTCTTCACTGTGAGGGTGACAGAGCATTGGAACAGGTTGCCCAGAGAGGTGGTGGAGTCTCCTTCGCTGGAGATATTCAAAACCCGTCTGGATGTGATCCTGGGCAATATGCTCTAGGTGACCCTGCTTGAACAGGGAGGTTGGACTAGATGATCTCCAGAGGTCCCTTCCAACCTAAACAATTCTGTGATTCTGTGAACAAGGGATATTATCCATATATGATGTATATATATGTTGTACAGAACATATATGTCTATTCTGTACCCAGAATTCTTAGAGGAACTACTTTCTGTCACTTTAATAATCTAAATAAACATTAGATAAATAATGTTCTCAATAGATAAAATCACATACTCATACACATCGGTTCAGGATCAGATGGCACAAATGTCTGTTTAGGCAACTGATGCCTTTCACATCTTTTGTCAGCCAGTCGTGCGTTCTCTGAGATTCATTTTACATTGGGTAGGGTATTTAAATACCTAAGTGCAGATAGTCTTTTGAAACCTAAATGGGCCTCTTCTTTCAATTATTAATTCAGTTCTTTACACATATGCCATTATTTAGGCAATTAAGCCGTATAGCAAGGCCACTTTTATCTAGGAAATAAGGCTGCTATGGAAAAGACTGTGAAAATTGGATCTGAATTATTTGCTCATTTATTTTACCACAAAAGTCCGAAAGACATATTGCCTGTGGACTATCCTCACATTTCTGAGACTTGCTTGAAAATGAGGATGCATCATTACCAGGACCTGTTTCCCGCTTTGTTCCTTCAGCAAGAACTGGGAGCCAGTCATATATGACTCCCATGCCATGTGCTGGCTACAGGGTCCCAACGACAATGGGAGTATCAGTACTTAAAATAGATAAGCTCAGGTCTCACTAGCTTAAAAAATCAGAAAGATCCTGGATGAAGAGTGGCTTGAACATGGCTCTGCCAAAACAGAGGATGGTAATTAGGATGGTGAAGGTCAGAATGAGCAATCTGGGTGCATCTGAGTTTGCCCTCCTAATGAAAGTCTCTGCCTGCCTTTCATCAAACTCAGGCTCCCCAGCAGTCTTTACAGAACCTTGATAAACAGCTTGCATAGAAGTTAAGAAGCCTGGGTTCCTACTTATTTATAATCAAGTCCATATGTCCCTCATTTTTACCCACTTACATTTTTCCACTACAATACCTACAACTCTTCTGCACACCTCTTGTAATACCTCACCTTGCCTCTGGAGCACTGTTTGCTCCCTCTCAGAAAGTTTTCAACTTCTTTTTAAAGTTCCTACAAGCCTGCTGGCTGAGCAAGGGGCAGTGTGCACTCATTGGCTAGCAAACCCATGCTCTTCATCCAGTGCACT